CCAAATAAAGACCACTGGAGTTGTGACACGGGTTTAATGCCAAACATGCAACTTTGCAAATCCTTCGTTATCTTGCCTCAAGCCTTTATCTGATTTTCCAAGAGATTAAGAAATCTTGACATGGAATTTATTGCCCGAGCTAAATCCCCACTAGACAACCTGCTCCTTCAGTTAGCTGGAGGTTACAAAACCACCTCACACAGGGGTTCCAGCCATTTTACCTTAAAACCTCCGTGAACTTTAATGAAATATGAGGTTTTTGTGCTACAAAGTGAGCTCTGTATTCCAGCTTTTACACCCCACTGCTTGTCCTTTTTCCATTTCCAGCTGCCTTGGAGCACCCTGGGATAGTGCCCTGGGGTTTGGAATGGGATGGTTTATAAGGTCCAACCCAAAGCAGCCTGGGATTCCCTAATTCTGTTAATTACAGCTGTGATGCTCTGGCATCACCAAACCCTCAGCTCCTTCACACTCCTCCTCTCTCCATCATTGGGTTCCAGCCCTCAGAGCATCCCTCAAATCCCCCCAAAACAAATCCCCAGCTCAACAATTCCAAGTCTGGATACCTTCCTATTTTTTAATTTTCTTTTTTTTTGTTAAAGGAAAAGCCTCAGGGTGAATCTCCAGGAGGAAAGCTCCATGGGCAGCTCTGCCCTGAAGCATGGCATGACTGGGTACAAATCTCCCACAGCATCCCTGGCAGCCAGGAGGTGACAGAGCTGTCCCCACTGTGACCCTGGATCCCCCCACGCTCCACCACCGCTGCTGGGATTTTCTTCCTCGTTAAGGAAACGTGCTGGACAATAAATAAACCCAGAATAGCAGCGGAGCAAAACACAGTCCAGACACCCAGCAAAACCAAATGACAGCGCTGCAGACACGCTCGGGTGGCAGGGAGGGAAAAGGACAAACACCAGCTGCGGTGGGAACGCGAGTCTGAGACAGCACAGGACGGATCTGAACAAACCCAATCAATCACCAATACACGAGTGATTGCTCTGGGTGCACATCCCAATACAAACACAAAGCCTGTTTTTAAACCCACGCTGCCTTTTGGCCAGGAAAGGTTCGCAAAGGAAGGAAACTCACGTGAACGCCGAAAGGGAAAAAAAAAAAAAAACAAACCACAAGTCGCACTGATTTCTTTCCCAAATGAAAAGATTCCAAAACAAAATCCCAGATAAGGGCGCTGCTGGAAACAGCAATATTGGAAATAACTTTTCTGGAAGGGGAATGGGAAGCAACAACATCCTTGGCAGCATCCTTTACCAGGCACCCCGGGGCTCCAGCACATCCAGCACGGGCAGTAAACGTGGGAAAGGCTTTGCAGAGCTCGGCTCTCCCTGCTAAGAGCAGCATCCAAACGCTGGGAAACCCAAAATTAGCAGCGAGCCCCAAAGGCCAGGGCATTAAATCACGCTGGTGCTCCCTCCTCAATGCAAGCGGCGCCTCCGCGATACGCAGTGGAAAAAAGGGGAAAAGTTTGGCTTTTCCCAAGCACTTCTGTACTCAACCCCCCTTGGCAATGCCAAGCCTCGGTTTCCATGAATTTGAGAGCATTTATTCTCAGTTATCACCCTTAGCACCTCGCCTAGGGAAACACAACCCTGGATATTGTAGGGTTCAGCTCCGAGCACACCCATGGTAATATTTAAGATGATTACAACTTATCTCCTCCCTCAGAGGAAACTTCCTAAAAAATGTCAAACAAGCTAAAGCTGCGAGGCACAGCTGACCACGGCACAAAAAGGATCCCGAGAAAACATTTCTTTTAAGCATCTTTATCCTCAAGCCAGCGCCATGAGCTTTTTGGCGGGGCTGCAGAGATGCTCCAGGTTTATTAAAACCCTGTTTTAATAAACACGAAGGGACCGCAGGGGCCCCGCAGCCCCATCCCGCTCCACAGGGGAGATGCTATTTTTAACCTCGATAAGAAGCGGCTCCAAAAAAAAAATAATAATAATAATAAATAAATAAATAAACCTCAGAACTGAACCCTCTCCTCGCTTGAGCACCTTCCACCCACTCCGGGGGGCTCGGTGGCCAGGAGTGGCCAGGGCTTGGCTGGTCACAGCATCCCCGCATCCCCCCCGGCTCCGCCGCGGCCTCCCGGGGAGGGAGGCGGCCCCGCTCCGCCACCGCCGCCGCCGCCGCCGCTACCTCGATCTTATCGACGCTGCGAGCGCATCCCACCACCTTCATGCCGTGCTGCACCAGCGCCCTCGCCACGGCCGCGCCGATGCCCACGGAGGCGCCGGTGACCAGCGCGACCCGGCCGGTCCAGCGCTCCATGGCCCCGGCCCGGCCCCGCCGCCACCGCCGAGCACAAAGCACCGCCCGCCCGCCGGCCCCGCCCCGGGGACACGGCCGGGACACGCCCATGGGCACGGGGACACGCCCCTGGCTACCGGGGACACGGCCGGGACACGCCCATGGGCACGGGGACACGCCCATGGCTACCGGGGACACGGCCGGGACACGGCCAGGACACGCCCATGGGCACGGGGACACGCCCCTGGCTACCGGGGACACGGCCGGGACACGCCCATGGGTACGGGGACACGGCCAGGACACACCCCTGGGCACGGGGACACCCCCCTGGGCAACTGGGACACGCCACTGGCTACCGGGAACGCGCCAATGGGCAACGGGGACATCCCCTGGGCAACCGGGACACAGTCCTAGCTACCGGGAACACGCCACTGGCTACCGGGGATATCCCCCTGGGCACGGCCCTGGCTACCGGGAACACCCCCCTGGGCACGGGGACACGCCCAGGACACGCCCCGGACACCAGGGACACGCCCCCGGACACGCCCTTGGGCACAAGGGACACGCCCATGGCGAGCCGCCCTCCGAGCGCGGAGCTCGCCCCAGATGGGAAGGCGGGTGGGGTTTGGTTTCCCCAGCCTGAAAAGGCTCGGGGTGGATGTAGGGAGGGGGAAAAGGGGTGATGGTATTCCCTCCTCAGGGCAAGGGTGCTCAGATAATTCCCAGGAATGTGTGAGGAAATGGATTGATTGGAACACAAGAGGCAGAAGAATTGAATTGATAGAAGGGAGGGATGTAACAATGCTCCCAAAACGGCCCAAGCTGCACCCTCCAAATCCAAACCTTCCCCAAATGGTGCTGACCTCACACCAGGATTTCCAGAGCACAGCCCCTGCCAGCTCCCTGCCAATCCCTTATCCCAGCTCCTGGCACCACAACAGGCACCTGATACCGAGCAGTGCCAGGCTGGGATGGTGGCACCTGTCCCTGCTGGGCTGGCAGCAACTCCACCATCCCCAAACCACATCCCTGGAGGGACACAGAGCCTGATTTCCAAGGATTTGTCCTTTCCCAGACCACTTTTCCCCACCTTACCCCCACCTGAACACTCCCAGTACAAACACAGACACCCACCTCTACTCTGCATATTAATAAATATTCTTTATTTAAATTTTTGCACATTGCGCTTTAGCATATTACATCCAAAACATTTTGCAAATGGATGTCTACTTTGTAAAATCTTATATTCAGCTCCTTGTCATTCTGTACAGAATTATAGGTACAACATTACTTTGCCACTAGTTTGCTTTTTGTAAGTCTCACAGGAAGAGAAACATTGAATGAAAAGAGATGGCTTAAATTAGAAGAGAGGCTTGCACAGCTACTCAACTAAAGATACAAGCCTGGAGAAAGAACAAAATTAAGGAAATCACCTCCACCAGCCTCCCCCCGAAAAAAAAAAAAAAAAAAAAAAGAAAAAAAAAAAAAAGAATCACATTAATTTAAGATAAAATTTTGCCGTAAGTCACTAAATTAAGTTTGGAAGGAGAAGGCGCAGTAGTCATCTCGAGTTTCAGTGACAGACAGGGTTGGACTGGGCTCAGTTGGCTCCAGCTGTTGCCAGCCAGCTGTTGCAGACGGGCCCCTTGTGGTCGTTGAGGCGACAGTACTTGTTGAACTTCTCCTTCAGGTGCTGCCTGTACTGCTCCCGGTTGCTGTAGAAAGACTTGTTGTTTGCCATGAATGATTGGATTTCATCCTGGGAGATGAACAGTTCCTCATCAGAAGTACACTCTGATTCATCCTGCAAATGAGAATGGGGATTTCAGAGCTCCAGCACTGCCCTCCTGTGCAGCACATCTGTCTCCAGGCTGCCCTGTCACACCAGCCCAAATCCCAGCTGCCTGATCTGGACACCCTGCTCACACAGGGCTCTGCTGGGCCGGGTGAGAAACGGCAAATTCAGTCATTAAATGGATCCAAATCCACTTCAGTCTTAGCACGTTGCCATGGGAAGAGGATGGATTTTATTAGAGGGGTTTGGGGAGAGGGAGAAGAAGGAGAAGAAGAAGGAAGCAAGCTGCCCAAGGAGCCTGCAGTGGGAAGTAACATTTGAGGCCTGAAGGCAGCAATAATGCTCACTTCACATTATGGAATAATGCAATCCTTGACAATGAGCACTTGCAACACAAGTTCTTTCACTGCATTCCAGTGACAATTTCTCCTCCTCTGCAAAGCATTCAATTATAAACTTCTCAGGGAACGTGCACAAGGAACTGAACAGAACATTGGGACTCAATTCCTCACTGGGAGTTGAGCTCTCAGCCCCTAAGATTAAAGCAAGATGCTCCAACCTTAAATTAGAAGGCGGTGGTTACTTACAAGGAGTTCCACTAAGCTTTTGGCACCTTTTCCAGTATCAGGGACAAGTGACATTTCTGTAGGTTCTGCAAACTGTGACACATTTTTCATATGCTCAAACCAAGGCAACTGCTGGCCGCTTTTGTCTGCACTACAGCAGCTCTCAGCGTGTGTGTCTTTGGTCTTGTCACGGTGAAACTCTGTGTGCGTGAGATTTCCTGAGGTCTCTCTGCTCCCTGCATCTGCCAGACAGCTCCCAAGCTTCTGAATCTGAAAGGGAAAAGAGCCTGCAGTGAACTGCCAGCAGTGTTTAACACGAGGTATTCGAGTTTGAGATGGAAGCAGAAGGAAAAGAGGAAGGTTCAAAGGTGAGCGAGGGTAGATATCTGTATTTAAATGTGTGCCTGGGGAGCTGGGGGTGGCACATTCACTGAGAGTGAGTTAAAGTGCACATGCTTAGGGAACATAGAAGAGACTCCACCACAACCCACTCTAGGAAGGAGCTCAATTCCAAAACTTGGGATGACAAGGGAACAGGAGACCCCTGTTGTCCCATTTTCAGCGTAAATCTCAATGGGAATTGAAAATCCGTCCGTAACTACTTCCAAAAGTAAGCATTTAGAGAAGCATCTGGCAGAGCCGTGTTCCTTACATGGTCGTTCTCACACTTCAAGGCTTTACTTTTCTTTTTCTTCTTTTTGTTTTTGCCTTTTGTGTTACTCTCCTCTGCATTAGCCCAGCACTCCACACAGCTGTCTCCATCCTCCTCCTTGTCGTCGCAGCGATGGACGCAGGCATCGTCCCCTGCAAAACACAGCCAAGTTTCTTTTGAGATGCTGCAAGCTCTGAGGATATCAAAGCATCATGACTCTTCTTCCCAAACCTACCATTTTCATCATGGTTGCAGATGCCCTCAGTGCAGGCCACGTCCGAGCCCTCCCGGGACCCCGTTTCGCTGCCCTCCATGCTCGAGGAATAGCCACAGTCGCTGCCAGTACAGTGTGGAGATAAACCTGAGACAGAGGCCAAAATTACTGCCATCTGTAGGAACTGCTGCACATCCTTTACTTATGCCTCTAACAAGAAAGAATTCAGAGAACCCCAGACAGGTTTGGATTGGAAGGGTCCTTAAAAATCACCTCGTTCCACCCCCCTGCCACGGGCAGGGACTCCTTTGTAAAAACAAGTGACCACTGTTCACCCCATGAATGGCAAATGTTTTTTAAAAATGAAAAATGCTAAGACATTTGACATACCTTTCTTGATTTTAGGTGAGCCTAATAGGGTACCACTACTAGGACAAGTGCAAGAAGTGCTTTCATTAGTAACAATTACTTCTACACAGTTGTTGGCTTCTTCGGTGCTACCACAGGCTTTGCAGCTGCTTTCCATGAAGTTTGAGTTCTCCTTCAAAGAGAAACAAAAAAAACTTGCAGGCACTGAAAGCAGCTCAGCCAACTTTTTTATAAAGGATACTCTTCCCATGAGAAAAACCAGTTGACACTGACTGATAACAGCATTGCTTAGAATTCTTCACAAGTACAACACAACTAAACAAAACCCCAACCAATTTACCTTGACCCACAGTCACAGTCCATTAAGGTCAGCCAAGAGATCCTGAATAATAATTGCACTTAAAAGATTCCCCCTCTCCAAAAAATTCAGTGGTAATTGTCTACAAGCAGCATTGGAACCCCCAGGTTCTGAGTGATCTTTAAGAAATCACAGTTGAAAAACAACCTGGCATAACCTGAACTTGAGATTTAGGATTAAACAAAACCCACCTCACTAAAGCCCAAAAGCTAAGGAGCACCAGGTAAGTACCTTACAATAGCTCTGCTCATCTGGAATTAAATTCCATCAGGGACCAAAACACACTAAAATCCCTCAAGAATTCTACCATGGAACAGTGAGCTGATGGATGAAGCCCCAGAAAGCCCCAGCTACCCATGTTTACCTTTGCCTGATTGATTTCCTTCTCCTCTGCTGCCTGCAGAGGAGCAGGGATCTCACACACACATTTATTTTTCCGTCTGTTCTTCCGCTTTTGGCGTTTCTTCTCTTGTTTAAGTTCTCTCACTCTCTCTTCTTCTGAAAACTCTTCACAGAGCTGCTCCAATCGACTAATGCCCTGCACTTTTTCCACAGCCATCTGTTTACAGAGGTTAAATCCACAAGTTATCACAATTCAAGCTTTTGCATTTATAAAAAAGGAGAAGGGAAAGAGCCAGAACCGAAGTCCCAGTAACATAACCATTGACTACAGGAGGAAAATGCCCACCCAGATGCAGTCACTTGGTTTAGATTGCTGGAAACTCATGTGTGGGGGAGATCTGGGTTGCACCCATGGCTCAGATTGACATTTTTCAGTGAAGAGTTGCAGATTTTGATTCATTATTGGATCTGTGATACTCTGATCCTGTGGGAGTAAAAAAACTCCAAGAACTAACCAGCTCAATGTTCCATTATGATCTTTCCCAAACTGACTTTCCTCCTCCTTCACTGGTGTTTCAGAGAGAACAGTTATTATGAATGGAAGATGAACACAACAAAAAAGATCTGTGTCATATAAACTGGCAATTAATATTAAGTATTGGTTAAAGGAGCTCTGTCTGAAGCTCAGGATCCCACAGGATCAGAGTGCATTTGGAACAAGCTGAACACAAGAGTTTGCAACCACTTTTGTAATTCAAA